AACTGCCTCCCAGCATACATAAGGGGGATTACCAACAGACCCCTGGCAGTCTTCAAGCTGGCACTGGACAAGCACCTAAAGTCAGTTCCGGATCAGCCGGGCTGTGGCTCGTACGTTGGTTTGCGTGCAGCCAGCAGTAACAGCCTGGTTGATCAAGCTCTGATCCACCATGAGACCTGGTCACAGATCGGGCCGCGGGGGCGTTGACCCCCGGAACTCTCTTCAGGTAAACTCCAGGTAGTGCCCCATGAATATAATAGGAAAGTGTGAAGATTTTGCTAACACTTATTTTGTACTTCACGGTTACATCCAACGCATTTTACACGGAAACATGAAAGTACAGACAGGTTTACAGTGGTGTAGATAAACGACTATTTAAAAAGTTATGAGCGCTTTAATGTAACGATTTTACTTACTAAAGCATGAATAGCCAATTACTTAGGCAGAGGAGGAGGAGGCGGCGGCTCATTCCAAACGTATATCTGGCCACTTTATTTATTTATTTATTTATTTATTTCCAATTTGTGCACACATACAGAGGTACAAAAAAAAAATACAGATAAGAGCAGTATGCCAAAGCCACTTATACTATGCATAGCATTACGGGCTGGCTTAAAATTAACTTAAGATTAACTAAGCAATGATTATTATTATTATTATAATCAAAAAGAAGCGCTAAGCCACAAGGACTATACAGCGCTGCTACTAAGCAATGATGAAATCAGTGATAAAACATTAATGTAAACAGATAACTATAAAGCACAAGTGAGTATTACAAAGACAGGTCATATGGTTGCATTCAGTTAGGTAGTGATTCTGTTAGGAAAGTGTATTTAAAAAATAATAAAGTTAGATTGGGTTTTAGGTTTAACATTTATGTGATATAATTGTGAGAAACATTTAAGATATACAATTTTATAATGTTCAGTTATTCAGTATTTATTTGGTTTTGGGTGAGTAAGTAATCTTTGAGAAGAGACTTGAATTTATAAACAGGGTTTTGTTTCTTTTATATTTACAGGTAATGAATTCCAGATTTTAGGCCCTTTATGTGCATTGAGTTTTTGCATAGTGTGAGATGGACACGAGAACATCAAGAGTGATCTGTGCCTTGTGTTATGGTCATGTGTTCTGTTGAGGTTGGCAAGGAGATGTTTGAGGGAGGGTTAATATCAGAGTTAAGTGTTCTATGTATGTAATAGGTGCAGTAATAAGTATGGATGTTTTTGTATGGTGAGTAGGTTTAGTGTATTGAATATTGGTGGAGTGTGCTGCCTGTAGTGAGAATTGTTATCATTCTAACTGCAGCCTTTTGTTGGTAATTAGTGGTCTGAGATGGTTAATTGTTGTTGAGCCCCATGCACAAATTCCATAGGTGAGATAGGGGTAAATAGAGTGATAATAGGGCCAGGAGGGCTGACTGTGGAACATAGTACCGTATCTTCGATAGTATGCCCTACAGTCTTGGAAATTATTCTTAGAAATTTGATGTATATGTGTATGAAATTTGAGTCTATTAATCAAGGTGGATTCCTAAGAATTTTCCCTCTGTTAGTTTTTGTGATGGGTGATCCATTTATCATTATGTTAAGAGGGACATCTGTAGCTCTGTTACCAAACTGAATGAAGTAGGTTTTGTCAATGTTTAGTGTAAGTTTTTTAGTCCTCATCCAGGTAGATATTTTCTGTAATTCGGTATTTACAGTATTGGCTAGCGTGACTGGGCTCGGGTGAGAGAAGACGTATGTAGTGTCATCTGCAAATAGTGTGGTTTGAGTAATTGCGAAGCATTTTGGAAGGTCATTTATGTATAGGAGAAAGAAAAGAGGGCCAAGGGACACTTCCCTGTGGGACACCAACTGTAATTGGTTGTGCAGAAGAGTTTGCCCCATTTTGGCGTACACATATTGGCTTCTGTTGCTGAGGTAAGACTTGAGGTATTGAGGGAGTGCCCTCTTATCCCATAGTGTGACAATTTTACGTGGAGCAAGTCATGGTCAACTGTATCAAAAGCTTTACGTAAGTCAATGAAGATCCCCAGTGGGACTTCTTTTTTCTCAAATTTAGGCATATTTAGCTGCAAACTTGTGTGTGTGTGTTTTGGTGTGTGTGTGTGTATATATATATAATATTTTTATATATATATATATATATATATATATATAATAAAATATATAAAATATATATATAATATTATATATATATATATTAACACACTGGCCGATTCCCACCAAGGCAGGGTGGCCCGAAAAAGAAAACCTTTCACCATCATTCACCCCATCACTGTCTTGCCAGAAGGGTGCTTTACACTACAGTTTTTAAACTGCAACATTAACACCCCTCCTTCAGAGTGCAGGCACTGTACTTCCCATCTCCAGGACTCAAGTCCGGCCTGCCGGTTTCCCTGAGCCCCTTCATAAATGTTACTTTGCTCACACTCCAACAGCACGTCAAGTATTAAAAACCATTTGTCTCCATTCACTCCTATCAAACACGCTCACGCATGCCCGCCGGAAGTCCAAGCCCCTCGCACACAAAACCTCATTTATCCCCTTCCTCCAACCTTCCCTAGGCCGACCCCTACCCCGCCTTCCTTCCACTACAGACTGATACTCTTGAAGTCATTCTGTTTCGCTCCATTCTCTCTACATGTCCGAACCACCTCAACAACCCTTCCTCAGCCCTCTGGACAACAGTTTTGGCAATCCCGCACCTCCTCCTAACTTCCAAACTACGAATTCTCTGCATTATATTCACACCACACATTATATTATATTACACCAGAAGCTGTGAATCGACCCCTGCAACCACAAATAGGTAAGCACACGCACGCACGTGCTGTATTTCTCAGTGCATATGTACTGAGCTTATGCCAATAATCTCAACTAGGTCTCTATCAGTTGTATCACATACTTCGTAGAAATAAGTAGTAGTAGTATACAGGTCAGATGCGGTTTTAATGAACCACTTGAAATCCAGACAAGCTTTAAACCAAAGTACGGCTTTGGCTCGCACAGTACCAGGCAGTAAACTACTGCCTGGAACCAGGCAGTAAACTACTGCCTGGAGCTCCCAGATCACTACTACGGTCAAGGTTAGCCTCACTGACTACTAAGTTTTCTTCAAAAGAAATTACAAGATGCCCCCTTTAATAGTTAGATCCAAAGGTCTTTTATAGTAATAATTTAGAATCAATATGTCTACAAGATGTAGAGGGTAAACGTATCTTAATATATATCTTCGCAGTAGTAGTGAACGATAATTTAAATTAGGCAGCCCGGAATCATATTTTAAATTGTACAATTGCAGTATATAAACGTTTCTATTGCCAAGAACCCTGAAAGGACGTAACTTGACACTGGTGAGGTGCTCTTGTTGCAAGGAATTGAACCTGATTGCCTCTCATTTTTCACAGGCATTGTATGCTCCTTACGGATTTATTGTGTTCCAGGAACCCCATCCCACCATGAATGTAAAGAAAAATATTGGCAAGGACAGTGGCGCTGTCTCATAGTGCAAGGGTTGGAATGAAGTGCTCATGAGGAAATTCATTCAAGGGCTCTGCTGTCACGATCAATTATATATATAATATATATATATATATATATATATATATATATATATATATTATATATAATTATATAAAATTCAGATTCAGGAAGGATATAGGAAAGTACTGGTTTGGTAATAGAGTTGTGGATGAGTGGAACAAACTCCCAAGTACCGTTATAGAGGCCAGAACGTTGTGTAGCTTTAAAAATAGGTTGGATAAATACATGAGTAGATGTGGGTGGGTGTGAGTTAGACCTGATAGCTTGTGCTACCAGGTCGGTTGCCGTGTTCCTCCCTTAAGTCAATGTGACCTGACCTGACTAGGTTGGGTGCATTGGCTTAAGCCGGTAGGAGACTTGGACCTGCCTCGCATGGGCCAGTAGGCCTTCTGCAGTGTTCCTTCGTTCTTATGTTCTTATATATATATATATATATATATATATATATATAAAATATATATATATATATATATAATCCTATCATCAACTTGTACACCTCAGTCATATCCCCACCCTACTCATTCTATGCTCTGTTTGCCTTTGTTGGCAAGGTAATGATACACTGAGATGTCTGGGTGTTATCTACCAGGTAATATTTCACACCATAGTGTATGGATCTATACCTTTAGTGACTCAGTTTCTCCAGATAACTGGACTACTCAACATGAGCTTATTATAAGTAATCAGTTTGCTGATAGTCTTACCGCCGGTAACGCTGATTCGTCTCCCAGGCAGCCAAGGTTCAGTTAGATGAATGCGGAATTTCTTTATCGTAGCAGCATTAAGTTTAAGTTTATCAACGAGACGAGACGTATGGGCATGTTCCCTGCTGCACATATACCTAGCACTAGATATATATAGGATTTCTTCGGGTGTTGGGTGTCTCATTCCAAAGCAGTCCCTAAGGCCTCTATTGTAAAGCCACATTGCTTGGCTTTCTTTGGTTTTCCTGGGTTACTAGCCCTGGTTTAATCTCTCTAAAGTTAATTTTCGTAAGTCTATGAAGTTTAGTTTTTTAATTACAGAACATATATACGATAATGGGAAGTGGAACAGAATTCTTCCTCCGTAAGCTATGCTCGTCGTAAGAGGCGACTAAAATGCCGGGAGCAGGGGGCTAGTGCTATCCCTTCTGTATACATTACTAAACTTAAAAAGAAAAACTTCCGTTTTTCTTTTTTGGTCCCCCTATCTTGGTGGGATACGGCCGGTTCGTTGGAAAAAAAAATACGATAATAACTAGCATTATTATTTGCTTTAAATATTTTATATATAAAAAAGCAGTAACTGGATGAGACGGGGTTATTCGTTGTCCCTCGTTGATAATTCCCGTCATGAACGTACCTACCATAGCTGTCGCCTTTATAGTTTGTTTTTAGGTTGCCTAGCAGATGACTGCGTGTTCTTTCATCTTCGGCTACTAATGCTGATGTATATTTTGTGTTCCAGCTCACCCTACTGCATTCTGAAACTGCGCAAATTCTTGGAAACGCTAGTGCAGTAACACTTTAAAGTGCCTGCTACCTCCGTCGTCCGTCCTAGTCCAGTGATAACCTGAACACTAACTACGATTATTCCATGAGTCTCTTCTCAACGGAGTGCGCCCCTTTGACCAGAGTTAGTTCAACCCAGTGTGAGGAAGTGCTTTTGGTCAGTGCCGTTACCTGGCACAGCTACAAGTGACCTTTTTTTCTCCAAAATGGGGTAGGTGCCTACCTTAATCTTATCACTGATTAATCTGTTCTCGCTCATTCATCCTCCCTATTCCAGTCTCCATGCTACCTTCTTTACAATTATGCCACTCTCCCTCACACACACAATATCTCTTTTTCTTCTCTAGTTCTATCGTCTCTATTCTTTCTTCTCCAGTTCCCTCTTTCCCTTCCCCCCTCTCCCCACAAGTAGGTGACCTTGGGTGAGCTGTGCTGAACCGGCAGCAAGATTGTCAAGGCCACTCGGTACCCCACCTACACCCCACTAGTGCTTCCCAGACACATATACGACTATTAACAACGAGTCATATTATTTTGTCACGTGCGGCTAGCTGCTGGTTGGAATGAGGTTTACCTTATCCAAGGGTGTCATGTTTTTTTAGGTAACCTTTACTGGAGTTGCTGGTCCAGACATCTGTACTGTAATTACAAACCTGTGGTTGAAGATGCGCGGCTTGTTGTCGCATATGGGAATGCCAATAAAATGGTAGTTAACCATTGTAAATTTCAACGCCCTCAGCCATCATAAACATTAGGGGAGAGAAAAGAAGACAAAGGAGCTTTGAGACGTTTCTCCATTGAAACCAGTTTTAATCAGTCCTGGAAAATATTTCTGATATTCACTATACCTGACCTAGCCAAATAAATATCTGCAGAATAGAATATATGGTAATAGTAGCTATTTAAAGCAAACATAAGAGGATGCTACCGTTTTTAATAATCACCATCACCTCGACCACAGACCTGAGTATTTACCTGAGATTTTAGTGAGGACGTATTGTTTATTTCGCAAATTGATCTGCAGGTTTTGCTCAGGTCAAACCTGATTAATCCCCCTCCCCCCCTCCCAGTTCCTCAGGCGCTGTATGACCTTTACGAGTTCAGCATTTCCTCATGAATATAATAATATAGTATATACTAAGTGCATTGTTGTACAGTACCTGGTGTCATTATGTTCCCTCGGGCCCTGGGGACAGGCATTGTCTGGGTATCAATGTCTACATGTAAATGCAGTTCAGTGTGGTAAAATGTACGGTCCACATCCTGGAAAAAATAACTCCTGTACTTATAATCAGTATATTTATGAAACTGAATTAGATAAATTAGTTCTGGTTAGTATTAATCTGAAACTAAGAAAACAGTCTGGTTGTAGTGTTCGCAAGAGGGCTAATGGATTTCTTGGCTTCATGAAGTACGTAGCAGACGTCCCAAGGTTACAACTTTGTTTAGTAGGGGCTCGATTAGCTTATACAGCGCAATTCCGGTCTCTGTTACAGAATGTCTTTAATTTTCCCTCGAAAACAAAGGAAAATGACAAGATTGATCATTTCTGTCTTGAATCTGTTTTACGAAGATTCTGAGAAAGATGAATTTGTACTCTTGAAATGGGTAAAATGTGCGAGTTTGTGGGGGGGGGGGGGTGATATGATTGAAGTATACAAAAGGACGATAGGACTAAATAATGTGGATATAAATGACGTTAGATATTTTAACGTGTAACTCACAATATATTCAAATTTATTAATTTAGATTTTAGAAAAGTCGTCAAAAAGGACGAATTTGGTATTAGTTATTTAGGGGGAAACTGTAAATTACCTAGACAATCTTTTTTACTGTTTCCGTGTTGTTGCAGTAGAGTGGTCAATAGTGCTGAACGATAAATGCTTAGCAGTGAAGAACCTGAGCAGTAAATCGCCTTAATGTTTTAGGTGAGGAAGTGAATATAACTAAGTGGATTACTTGTCACGATACTAAAAGACGTAGGGTTGAACCTCTAACACTCCTTTTGCCAAATGGCCCTCGTAGGTTTAGCAATTCATACGAAGTGTAAATAGTATATGTGACGGCAAAGATCATTCCCCAAGAATGTCTATTTAAAAAAATTTGCTCTCTATACTTTCTTTAATATTATACAGATATTTTTATAGTAAAGATAAATAGATGTTCATAATTTAATATCTTTATTCGATAACTTTATTGTGCAACCTATCTTCAACCTGTGGGTGATCAAAAGATTTGACCTATAATAGGTCATGGCTCCAATGTGTTTGCTGACCAAGTTACGGTATTACTGGAAAGCAAGAAAGAATAGCAAGTTTAGTCATTTAACGGTTGCAGACAATACAATAATGTTAATGGTAACTTTATAAAAGTTTGAACTTGCTAAAAGTTTACATTAGTCCTTGCGTTGTCACCTAAATAACATTGACGACGTTCATTGTGTCAAATGTCCCTTCCTTGTCCGCTATGCTCTTGTATGAAATGTCAAGTGTTTCTGGAAATGTTAAGAGTTGAACTTCCTCATAGTATTGCATCATACCATCCCGCTAGCCACTTCACCTGCAGCACAATTATTGTGACCTGGACCAACGTAATTATAATTTAAGTTTCTATCTTGATTTCATCCTATTATGGACGAAATGTTGATATGCTCATTTGTTGGAGATGACGGGCGCTCTTGAGTGGGCAGTAGGTCAAAGCCAAAACCTACAAGACAAAATCTCCCCAACGCTGGGTCACGTAAACCAGAAAGCAGGCCAGGTAGGATTTGTGTTGAGGTGGTGACTGGGGTGGTGGTAAACACGGTGGTGGTGAGAATACTGGTGGTAGTGTAATGTATAATAATCATAATTATAGTTTTTGTGATATACCCATTACCTTTAAAACATCATTAGTTCTTAATTGCTATTAAAATGGAAATTAATTTAAAATGTTTTCTTTACACTTTATATAAAGTTGTTTAGGTGTTCAGATTGTCAGATATGTAAATGGATTAAGGACAACCAATTGGATAAGAAGCTTTTTTTCATGAATTAATATACGAAGCAAAAAAACTTTGAAATCACATTTTATAATTTATAAGAACCCTGAACATCTTATTGCGATGGAGGATGAATATTCAGCTAATTTAGGTGGTTCTAATTATGTTCACTGGGGATACGCCAGTTCCGTAAGGTTCATTCAGCTCTTAATGGGGGGGGGGGGGAATTACGTTTGATTCAAAGAAGACTCCAATTTCTTGAATCAAGAGCTCTTAACTAGCACCAAGGGCCCATTTCCTTTAAAAGAGGTGGCGGTTCAGAGAAACAGTCGACATACTTGTGGTAATATATTCATAAGTTATTAAAAGCATACTTGTCCTTCAACACCGCTTCCTCCATCTTCTCTTACATCCTTCCTCCATGTAGTAAATGTTGCCAGTGATTGTAGTTGTGGTGATTGGTGTTACTGGAGGTGGTGAATGTAATGAGAGAAATAGTGATAAGAGTACATAACATAAAGACCCATGCTAGGCAAGTCCAATTCTCATCCACCTGTATACCCATCCAACCTATATTTAAAGCTACCCAAAGTTCTTGCTTCAATAACGCTCTCTGGGAGTTTATTCCACTCTACAACTCTGTTGGCAGACCAGTATTTCCCAATACCATTTGTAAATCTAAATTTCTCCAAGTTGAATCGGTTGCTGCAAATCCTGTCATGGTTAGATACTTTCAATACTGTTTATCCCCAATATTTATTTCTGTTTTTCATTTGTACACTTAAATTGTACATCCCCTAATTTTACGCCTTAACAAAGAGTGCAATATCAGTGCCTTCAGCCTATTTTCGTAGGTAATATTATTAATACATGGAGACCAGAACTGAGCAGCATAATATAAATGAAGTATAACCAAATATATTTATGTATATATATAAAGCTGAAGTATAACCTGAGTACTTCTATTATTTATACTTATTGATATAAAGCCAAGAATTCTATTATATTTATTGTGAACACTTTTGCATTGTTGTCTTTGCTTTAAATTTCTGCTAACAAGAACTAGATCTTTTTCACATTAACTTGGACCAAGATCTACATTGTTTAGCTTATAAGTGCCATGTCGGATACAAAAATTAAATGGCAAAGTTCTTTTATGGTTTATAACTAATACCAGTACATAATGACAAATAATTTGAAGTAGGCAGTGTACTAAGACAGTAAATAAAAACATCAGTTATATTTGTAGATAATTACTTTAGATTTTTTTTTCACTCTGGTACATTCTTTACTAGAATATTGCGTTATGTTTTTTTTTTACTCGCCATGTCTGAATGGACCGCCCACAGGATGGGTATGGGGTGCATAATAAAGATATTAAACTAACATGTCTGAATATGGATATTGATATATAAATACCTTAGATCAAATGATGATTCATTTACCAAGAATGGAGTCTTGAAACAAATTACAAAAAGTTTAATTTGTTTACGCTGTCACGGCAAAAATTTAAGAGATGATTTAAAATTTCAAAATCAAGAAAAATCATGAGTCTCTATTAAAAACTAATTTATTATGAATTACACGAAAATATCGTGCAAGAATTTTTTAAAGTTAGTCAAATTACAGTGTCCTCACTTAACGCCGTTTTTCTCAGTGTCGTTTCGTTAAAAGGTTAATGAAAAAAAAAAAAGTCCCGACCGGGGCTACAGTGTGTGGGGTTCGCACGTTCGTTTTTGAGCTGCATGGTGGTAAGGGGTGCTCCTTACAATTTTTGTTTTGATAACATTCCTTGATTTAACCCTGTTGCAATGATTGTTAAATGTGCACCACTGATGTTATATCAATTAGCCTATGGCCAAATTGGTTTCGTTATACGTCATTTTGCTTATTCTCAGTTGCCAGGAACCTATCGACAACGTTAACTGAGGACTTACTGTATGTCGATGTAAACATTCTCGCAAAACTATAAATAAACACAAAAAGCACAATATAGCCGTGAAGAGAAAACGATACAAAATAACGCCGCACATAAAATATCAAGAACTTAGACAACTTTGGCCAATATGACCATTGAAAAAAGTCACAACTAACATAGCCGTCCTTCTCCTCCTCTGTAATAGTTGTGACTCTTGTGCAATGCCAATTACTGGACCGAAACGTGTCGTAAGCTTCGTCTTTTATTGCAGGAATTATTTTGTCTCGCAAACTATCTTCAAAGATCACCCAAA